TACGCAATTGTTTGATTGAAAACTTTTATCTCTTATTGTGAAAATTTTCTCTTGAATATCCTCTTACGAATCAACAGTTTTCGCGTTATGTCATGACGATGCAATGCAATGCAAAGAGAATGAAAAATGACATAAACAAAAGAAAAGAAATAAGTTAGTACTAGTAAGATAATTGATACAGATAAAAATGTTATTCAGATATGACTATCACACCTACCCCGTCATGATATCTACCCGAACATGTTTTTATTAAATAGCATTCCTAGTTGAACATGTTTCTACCCAAAATGATTTATTTCAAAAAAATAAACCTAACTGCATGGTATCTAGTTCGCATGCTTTTATTCAGCATAATTTAAAACAAAAAAGAAAGGTTCAAAAACGTGCCTCCTTTGTGTACACTTATTTTGGGTACCTACTGACGGACAGAGGTTCGGTAGAGCTATACCTAGGGTGATCGTTCTATGGTTCACTAGATGCATAGTTTCGGCTCTAACAGGAAAAGGGTACTCGAATTGTCCTTGATGTCGGTGCCCCCTTGGGCTGCTAAACCTTCGATCCTAACCCATTACAGGTTTCGAACGGAACGAGTTCAATTCGAGGCGACTCACTGCCTTATACCCATACGAGTAATAAATCCCTACGAAGGTATAAGGTATGTATCCCATGGGTTATTTGCTAAAACTCATATGAAGAATAAATTCTTACGAAAGTAAAGCATTCACCCCGAGTAATTTAGATCAAAGCTAGTGTCTAGAGCTTATGTTATGCAAATGCACGTGATGTGTGTGAGGAGGAACATACCTACCTTTGACTCAAAAAACGGAAAAGAAAAAAACTCGACAAAAACTTGGACAAAGCTGAAAGCAAAAATTAAACTGGTAGTATGACAATTAAAAATGAAGCAATTAAAAACTACAATAAATGGATCATAGGTTAACTAAAGACTCGAACTCATAATTTCCACCAAACAACAATGTGTAAGCAATCTACAGCCTGACTCTCTAAAAAAAGTCCCTAGCAGAATCGCCAAGCTGTTATAACCGGGTTTTTTTTTTTTAAAAAAAACAATTAAATATTATTTTAAAAAATATTATGACTTTTATTTGAAAATTGGTGATTTGGAATTAATTTGGATTAAATTGAAATGAGTAGCCATCGACCTTTGGATTAGGTAAGTCGAATACCTAAAAATTGTCTTTTAAAACAATTTTAAGAAAAATCATTTTATAAGACAAAACTTTGGTCTGCATTTACCAAAAGTTCAATTTTAAGGGTCCGAGAGTCGATTACGCGTGGGGAAAGATTAGCACCCCACAACGTCCAAAATTGGTACTTGGTCGCTTACACGTTGTCATAATGGTGGAAAATATGAATCGAACATAAAGTTAAATTAGGATCCATAAATTGAAAAATTGATTAATTTGCTTCGAATTCATTATTTAAAGAAAATCCTTTAACTCGATAAAAAATATTAAAATTTGCAATCCTCCGTCGGGAAAGTTATCTCAACTATTTCTTATTCGTAAAAGAATATTTCCTCATTCGTTTGAAAACAAGAATCGAATATAAATTAAAGAAATTTGATGTTTTCATAAAAATAAAATAAATTAATAAAAACGCATTGAATCATAAAAATATTTAATTAATAAAATAAAATAGATTTATTTCATGTCTCATTTCATTCGAACGTCGCATTGGATTATACCACTTCGATCAAGTGATACTTTCCACGCCCATTCTACAAATACGTGCTCTTGAAAAAATTTGAATAATATTAATATTTAAGGAAATACAATATAAACAAATGTGATTGGAAACAAGCGAAATATAAAATTTACAATAAATAGGACGAAACATATTTATTTACATATAGTTACAAAATATGTAAAATATATACATACATAAAACATATATAAATGTACATGCATGATAAAAATGGAAAGAAATACAAATCAACTTATACAAAGATTAAATTAAAACAGAATAGTAAGAACCATAATAAAACTAAAAAAATGGGGACTAAATCATAAGAACAACAATTTCCTTGGCACAAAATGTAAAAAAAGTAAGAATTCTGGTGTAAAATGTAAATCATATACAATACAAGCATTAGGAACACAATAAACCCACAAATATTATTCGGGACGAAATCAAAATGAAACATAAATTAAAAAGGGTAAATAAGAATTAAACCAAAGAGCATCCATATACAAAGTAGTGACTAAAATAAAAGGTTTGTAAATATTATACCCAAAATCGAACATAAATGAAAATGATATAATACATATAATAGTGAATAAAATGAATTATTCTAAACATGCATTTCAAAAATATAAATTTTCTAAAACACAATGATCTGAATGTAAATAAGACCCAAAACATTTAAAAGGAAACATGGACGAGATTATAACATAAAATAAAATAAGGGCTCAAAGTAAAATAAAACTAAAATTTCATTAATGACCAGAATAGGGGTTTACAAGCCACGGAGAACCTTTCTTATAGATATCCCACAAGCAAAAATTGCTCCATGAGTCCTCCTTAAAACGACGTCGTTCCGAGCTTTGTATATATATATGAAAACTCACTGCCAAAACATACCCACTACCCCATTTTGCTTCACTTTGCTCGGCCCAAAAGAGAGAGAGCTAGAGAGGATTCCCGAGAACTCAACCGGAGTTCTTAGATTCCCAGAGTCCAACGAGCATCCGTCGCACCGGTCATCGCTGTTCGGCGACCACCGTCGTACGCTAGCGCCTGAGAAAGGAGAAAAGGACACCACCCGAAGCCTCCCTCTCATTACGAATCCAGGGTCGGATTTTCGAGATGGGGGTTAGATCTGAACAGATCTAAAGAAAAAGGTAAACTTTTTCTTCCCTTCTCCTTTCTTTTTTCCTTTTTTTCGTTCGATGTTTGTTTTTCTCAACCCCGAATGCTCTTTAGTTTTCCCCTCTTTTCTTTTTTTCTTTCTTTCTCCTTTCAAACACCGAATCTTTCTCTCTTTTTCTTTTTGTTGTGGTTCTCATCGAATAGATCTCCCATTTGTTCTCTCCTTGTCTTCTCTTCCTTTGATTTTATGTTAGCTTCTGTGATTTGTCGATGGTTTGATGGATTTTAACTTGTCTTGAGAATACTACCGAGGAGATTGCATTGGGATAGCATGGGATTCGCTTTGATATTTTAAATATTTTTTCTCTCTGGTTTTTCTGATATCTCTGTCATTTTATTGTTGATTGTCACTGTTGGTTGAGCATGACAAGGTGACAGCGACGGCGAGGAGCAACCGGCTCGAACGATGGCTAGGGTGATAAGCAGTGAAGGCTCACACGCAGATGGGGAAGTCGAACAGTTGTCGGTGGCGGCTAGTTGTTAGCTAGAGTTAGGATTGTGAAACCTTATTTGCCTCAGGTCGGATCAGCTGAACTGGGTCAGATCTTGGGTCAGTTTTGGTCAGTTCGGGTTCCCCTCCGGGTCGGGTTGAATATTGGGTTGTTGGGTCATCTGGTTTGGCTCTTTGTTGTTGGGTTGGATGACTAGACCTGGGTTGATGTTGTAGTGGGCTGCATTTGGGCCTACACAAAAAATGTAAAATGTAAATAAAAATATTAATAATAATAATATTAATATTATAATATTAATATTTTTGTAGATTCGGACAAAAAGAGGTGTTTACGAGACACATGCATCATTGCCCAAAATAGTTAGAGCCACAGTTAAATTATTCATCTCTGCCAGGCCATGTACATTACTCGTCACCTCTCCCAGAGATGTTCTCTAGGGCTGTAAATGAGACGAGATAGATCGCGAGCTACTCGAGATCGACTCGATCAAGGCTCGATAAATACTCAAATCGAATGGACTCGACTCGAGCTCGAGCTCGACTCGAGTTCTTAACGAGCCGAAACGAGCTACTCGATACTCGACTCGAAAAGCTCGTGAGCAGCTCGAAAAAATGTTATATTATAATTTTATATTTTTAAAAATTACATTATTAAAAATATATTAAAAATACACTATTGATAATTATAACATTTTAAAAATATATTAAAAATTCTATAATACAACTACCATCAAATTTTAATTAATGTCTTTTATAATGAACCCTAAATCCTAAATCCTAACCATAAACCATAAACTCTAAAATATAAATCATAAAGTCTGAACCCTAAACCCTAAATTATACTTACCTCATAATCTAATACCAAGTCAATTAAATGATATCTTTGTAATGAACCCTAAACCCTATTCTATAAAATTTAAACCCTAAACTATAAACCTTAAACACCAAACCCTAATCCCTAAACCCAATTATATGATAGGGGTTAAGTTATGCACATGAAGGCCACATACAAATTATGCAAAATGATGTTATGTGACTCCTAAATAAATCATTCACATACTTATACATAAACATATCAACATGCAAAATAAATATACACAACTAATTAAAGAAAACAATCCTAAACATGGACTAAATTAAGAGAAACCTAAATGTGAGGACTAGTTTAAGCTAAATATACTAACTTTAGAATGATGATTAAATTCAAGTTAATGTAAAATTAAACTTACAAAATTGGAATTAAACCAATGACTTAAATACAAAATGTGCATAAACTATAAGGTCTTATATGCAATTGATACTATTTGGTTTAAGCTAAAATATAATGGAAAATAACATAAATGACACCTGAACATTTAAAACAAATAAGAAAATTTAAACAAATGTGATTGAAATACAAAAATTAAAATATAACATGCCAAACTATAAATTTATTAAACATGCATATACATATTAAACTAATGACTATATTTAAATAAACGTAAAATTCAACATACAAATCAAGAATTAAATTAAGGATTTACAAAATGGTGCTCAAGTTGGGGGACTATAACTTAATTTACCAAAATATTAATATGAAACCTAAATTTAACTAAACCTAAACTAAACTCACGCACACAAAATACCAAACACAGCCGCACAGGCGCACAGGCCTAATAGCAAAATTGCTCTCTGTGTGTGTCTTGGTTTGAAGCTTCAAGTGCAAAGTCAAGGGATTTATGGGTGGAGAAGAGGATAGGGATCTCTCTGCCTTCAAAGTTTGATCCTTGAATTCAAAGCTTTATACTTTTCTAACTTGTTCTTCCCTTCTATCTTTTTAGCTTTCTTTTCGTTTCTTTTTTTTCTCTCCTGGCTCCTGTCCATCTAGAAAGAATTTTTGTCTTGTCCTCTGTTCTGTTGCGTTCTTTGCTGTTCGAGCATCATGGCTTCAAAGCGGATTTTGAAGGAACTCAAGGATTTGCTGTCCATCCAGTGTTGTAGTGCTAAATGCTGATAATTTTGATGAGGTTGTTCTTGATGAGACCAAAGACGTGTTGGTTGAGTTTTATGCTCCTTGGTAAGCGTTTGGTTTATTTTCCTCATACATGTAACAATTTTTGCTGGTGGAATTCTTCTGCTTTAATTTTTTTTTCCTACTGAATGTGTTTTAACTTTTTCCTGCTAGGTGTGGCCATTGCAAAATCCTTGCGCCTGTAAGCATTTAGATCTTCGCTTAATAGAGTTGGCTGAAGTAGCAAACCATTCTAACCTTTTGTTTCTTTTTTGTCTATATAGACCTATGAAGAGGTAGCGACAGCATTTAAAATGGAAGATGATGTAATAATAGCAAATCTAGATGCCGATAAATACAAAGATTTAGAGGAAAAGTAAGCACCAATCGTAATGCAAAAGGGCAGCTAACTTCAAAGGTTAGTAGTAGCTCACAGTATACATTGTTACATCATGTTCGTCATCACCATTTCTCTTCTGTTTGAGATTGGTTGTTCACTTATTCTCCCCTTGTCTTTGTGTAGGCTGGTATTTTGTCAAGTTGGATTGGATCCATTGGTTAAGGAGTTCGTGGCTGCTACCGGCGATGAGAAAGAAATCAGCATTTTCAAAGATCAAAAGGAAGTTGAAATTCAAGGTTTCGATTCGAGGTATTTAATCGGTTTCTTAATATTCAACTCCTAAGGAAAACTTCTTACAAATTCCTACTTTGTTTAAAGTTCCTTTATGTTATATGCTTACTATTCTATGTTGCCGATTGCCAGGTATGGAAATATATATTTGAAAGTTGCTAAAACTGTTTGGAGAAGAAAGATGCGATTATCCAAAGAAGGAAATTAAACGTGGCAACTCATTCTTCACAAGGTAAATGTTGTTTAAGCTAGATCTCTTGTTTAGACAGTCACAACTTTATGTCTCTTCCATTGCTACGATGTTTTGTACTATAAACATTGTCAACAAAACTAACACTGTTGCAAAACAGGTTCTGCTCTCAATCTGCTCCTTGCTGACTGATCCAAACCCCGACGACCCACTTGTTCCAGAGTCCAGACAAACAAAAGTCACGTGGGTGGCGCACTGTCCCTTGTTGTGCTTGGTGCTTTGTCCCTTGTTTTGTGTGTCTGCAGGGCATGGATTCGAGCATGGCCAGCATGGGCGACAGTAGCATTGGTTTCGGTGGATGGCTGACCAGCATGGTTCACGTGGGTGGCGCATTATCTCGGGCTTCCTCATGGTGGATTTGCACCATATGCTAATATAATAAACATGAGTAATAATAATACTGATAATTATTATAAAAAATTTCAAAGTTTATATTAATTATCTTAAATTTCTTGTAATTGTATTTTTAGTTTTTAGATTTTTTATAGTTCATACAATCATATTATAATGTATTGGTGATGGTTGATTAAAGGGAAAATTATTTATATATTTTAAATGCAATATAAGATTTTTGTAGGTTCAAATTCGAGTTTGAGTTCGAGCTTGAATCGAGTTCGAGCTTGAATCGAGCTCAAAATCGAGCTCGAGTCTCAAGTTTCAATCGAGTTCCTGAATTTTTTTTTTGAGTTCGAGCCTTTTCGAGTTCGAGTCGAGTTTCAATATTATCTTTCGAGTTCGAGTCGAGCTTGAAAATTTTAGGCTCGCGAGTTTTCGAGTCGAGTCGAGTTTACATTTAAAGTTTTCGAGCCGAGCTCAGCGATAATCGAACTCGACTCGGCTCGTTTACACCCTTAATGTTCTCTGCTTCTCAACTCTAGCACTAGATTGTAAGGTCGATTTCGGTGTCGTACGTGATGGGCCTGGGCCACTCCCCATAATCATAACCGGTTCCTTTCCTTTGGCCATCCTAGCTTCAGTTGTGTTTTCAGTTAGAGAATTGCTCGAAGGTGGATCCGAACTAGTATCCTCATCCTTGTTCGACACCGACTGAAGTATAGCAAACCTCGATTTACCTAAAGTAGTAGGTTTTATCGATTGAGCAGTAACTCCTTTGTCTTTGTTAACCCTACGTTTATGACTTGGGGCTATCATCCAAGGTCCAAATAACTCCTCCCCAGTGTTTGATTTCGGGGAATTGTCTTCGACTCGCGTAGTATCCACTGTTTCTGAAGTCGGGGCCAATACCTGTTGTATACTACACTAAGTCTTCGTGTGACCATAAACACTGCAATGAAAGCAAATGTTTTACAGGCGCTCATATTCCAGTTTTTTAACGAAACCGTCGATCCACAACAATAGCTAGTCTTGCAAATTTACCCCGTTCTCCGGCTTTGGTATTATAGTCTATTTTTACAACCTTACCAATCTCCGCGGCCAGGAGTCTGAACAAATATTTCGTATAATAGCGGTAGGGTAATCCCGACAGACGAATCCAAACGATAATTTGGGACGGATGACTATTTGAGGTGGCAAAATTCCAGCTCGAAGGTTGCACCGTTAAGTAACTATCGAAAACCACCCTAGGGTCTTCTGTTAAAACCTTCGTATAATCACTCTCCAATTCGAACCTTACCAAGAAACAACCATTGTCTCAGTCGATTAGTTGAAATCGCCCGTGCGGCAACCAAAGCATATTGATTTTATTCTACAATGCTCGATACCCAATCGTTTTCCCGAGGAGCCGTACAATCACAGTTTTCCTCATGTTATGATCAATAGAGTCATGAACTCGATTAGAAAATTAAATAACCGGGTAAGCCTCGCTGCGATCAACAACCACAGCACCCTCTTGGATGGCTACTTCCTCCTCATTCAAGTCGGGGAACGAAGGTCGATTGACCATATCCGCTCCAATTAGAGTAGCCGCTTAGGATCTACCAGCAATAAGGGAATTAACAGCAGTTGGGGGCAAACCTACTTGAACATCAGTCCCTCCTTCCTTTTTCAATAAATGATTAATTGATTCATTTAACCATTGAGATAATTTAGTTCATGCACCATTAAGAATCTTTTATTTTACTAGAGGATTCGATGAGGATATGACATTGTATAAACCTATTAAAATCAAATAACTAAATTGATATTATTTTAACTTATTTTTAAGATTTATTTATAAATAAAAATTAACATTGTAAATTAAATATTTTATGTAATCAATTAAATTATTAGATTTTGATATTTCATATTTATATATTTAATTTTTGTTTAAATTAAATTAGTTAAATATATATAAATTATTTATTATTAAAAATATAAAAGTTAGAGAGTAAAACTTTGATTGTTGGAAATTAGAGAGCACAAGTGCAATACTCAACACAACTTTCAAAGATAAAGATCGTCCTATTTTAGAATATTAAATTTTACACTTACATCTCGTATTTCTATCATGTTCAAAAAAGAGAATTGATTCCACGTTAGAAAATGAAAGAGATTCTAGAATTTAAAATCAATATCGGTATATATTTTATCAAATATGTTTTTTTAAATGTTGGAAAATTATGAATTAATTAAATAGAATTGATGCTCCTTATGATAAATGGTGTCACTTGGTAAAAAAACTTATTAATAATAAGTTATGTCACTTGGTTTAAAGTTGCATCCATTCAATTATACCTATTAATTTTTGAACTAATCCCTTCATCAAATGGTCTTAACTCCTCGTCAAAAAGTCATAATCTTTTGATTAATTTCCTCTCCTCTATAAATAGACTAGTTAAGGCACAAATTACATCATGCAAGGTTAAAATGTTGGAATAGGAAAACACTTAGAAAATTCCTTCCAAATTCGTTCTTTCCGGTGATATAGAAAATCAAGATTGTGTTCGACTGATCACTACAGTTGTGCTTACTGTTGTGATCGTTTGTTGTTGCATCCTGAGAGACCAACAACCAACGTTACTCAAAGCACCAAGAAGAGGACGAATATGTCTTAAGGAAACTGTTCATACAGGCTTCAACCAAAACTTTCTCTTCTATTTATCTGACTCCGCTCATCCTCGGTTTCATGTCTACATATGAGTAACCAATCTCATTCTTCTATTTTAATTCTTTATTTATTTTGCTTCATTGGATTATATAATAAATATTTGTTTATTATTATTATTTTATGTCTCGGATTAACCATTTTGTCTAATAATCTTAAGACGAATTATTTATTCTTTTAATGTAAGTCAAACATAGCATGGATAACGAATGAACAAGTGGGGAAGTGTGGTTTGTGATTTTTTTTTTCAATCTGCAATTCAAAATTGATAAGTACTGTTTAATTTTATGTTTTTCTTGGTCAAATCTTCACGTGGTGCATTGGTGCATGTCATGGAAGGATGGAATTGGTGTCACGTACCCTCGAATATTATTTATTTACTCTTATGGAAATTTTTAGTTTACATGATATAATAAATTGCAGATCACTTAATTTTTATCTCTCCTATACGAGATATTTGATCTCATTGTTATGGTAACAATGAACTACGGATTACCTACCTTTGAAATCAACAAAAAATAAAATCTTCAATTTGCAAAATTAGAAAATGGAAAAGTGAAACTTTGGTGCTATAGAACAAGGCATCAAAATTAATGCTATACACGCAATTGTGTTAGGCTTTATATTTTTGTTTCGGGTTTTAATTTTATTAAAATCAGGCATTTAATAATTTCAACAAAATGGTGTTGATTGTGAATTTCTGTTTCGGGTTTTAGTTTTACTAAATTCCCAACGTTCAACAGAAATTACTCGTTTTGATTAATATGGTACAGAAACAAAATTTTGATATGTTGTGAACAAAAGATTTATTTCAGGATTTTAATTCTTCCATCCAAAAGAATTTATTCGATTTATTTTTATAATTGAAATTATTTGAAAGTAACAACATTGTTGTTTAACAAAACCGGATGGTAAAATATATTGAATTAATGTTCAATTTATTGTTAGAATTATTACATATTCTAGTTTCATAGTTTAAATGAAACATTAGATAATCCAATCAATTAACTTAAATCATGATATGGAGTGTTGAAAAATTCAACGATAATGATTAATGTGATTCACAATGAGAAGCATGTTAAATTCTATGGATATAATTTTAAAACATGGAAACAATGGATGTTACATTTGACCATATTGAATATGATCGCTTAGGCTCATGATGATCCTCATATTATTAGAGAGGGTGTGGTAAACGGTATTATCGCTTTAATGTTATTAAAGCTTGGAAGCATTATGTAACACCCATCTCCCGTATACCTTTATGTATACGAGCTACAGGTGTCACATCACATTTAAAACAGTTTCCCATTTGAAAATCCGTACAATTTTGTTTCATTTTATAAACCATTAGAATTTATTTATAATTAAAACATGCATTAACTTACATCTATAAATAAAAAGAGATGTTCCACATTTCACTGTTTTGCAGTAGTTTAATTCAAAAGTTTT